CAATAAGCCAATTAGAAATGACAGGAGAAAGCCTCACCAATAGGATGAATGAAATGGAAAACAGAATATCAAGACTGGAAAATAAAGTGGATGAACTAGACCACTCAAGCAAAGATTATGAAAAATTTAAGAAATCACAAGAATAGAATATGCAGGAATTCTGTGACACTATAAAAAGACCAAACTTACAAATCATGGGCATACAGAAAGGAGAAGAATCCCAAGATAATGGCATGGACCAGATCTTCAACAGAATTGTGGAAGAAAATTTCCCAAAATTAAAGAAAGATATATGCCCATACAAATACAAGAAACGTATAGAACACCAAACAGACAGGACCAGAAAAAAAACTCTTCACAGCACATCATAGTAAAAACAGTACACATACAAACAAAGAGACAATTCTGAAAGCTGCAAAAGAGAAACAAGTCACATATAAAGGAAAACCCATTAGGATTACAGCTGACTTTTCAGTGCAAACTATGAAAACCAGAAGAGCCTGTACCAAAGTATTCCCAGTTTTAAATGACCACAGATGCCAACCCAGATTACTATATCCAGCCAAAATGTCTATTATAGTCTAAGGGGAAAGAAAAATCTTCCATGACATGAATGGCTGAAGGAATTCATGCCCGCAAAACCAGCCCTTCAGAGAGTTCTAGAAGCAATACAAAGAGCTGAAGAAAGGAATGACTATACCCAAGGGATTGCAGAAAGAAATCCAATGAAGGTATAACTGTGGAAAAGTACAGCTTTATGAAGAATGTAAACAGAAATAAAAATGACAAGATTCAATACCTATCTTTCATTAATAACTTTAAACATTAATGGACTGAACTGCCCAGTCAAAAGACACAGATGATGTGAATGGATTACGAAACAAAACCCATCTTGTTGTCTGCAAGAAACTCATCTCACTTTCAAGGACAGACACTATCTCAAAGTGAAAGGATGGGAAAAAAATATACCAAGCAAATGGCACTAAGAAAAAAGCAGGTGCAGCAATTCTAATATCTGACAAAATAGACTTTAAAACTAATCAGAAGAGATAAGAGGGCTATTTCATTCTGATCAAAGGAACAATCAATCAAGAAGATATTACAATCATGAACATATATTCACCAAACTCTGGTGCACCCAATTTCATAAAAACAATACTACAGGACTTTAAGACCCAGATTAACCCCAACTCATTAATAGTAGGTGACTTCAATACCCAACTGTCTCCATTAGATAGGTCAACAGGCCGAAGAATAAACAGAGAGACATCTGAATTAAATGATACCATACATCAAATGTACCTCACAGACATCTTTCAAATATTCCACTCAAGCACCAAAGAATACACTTTCTACTCAGCAACCCATGAAACTG